CTGCTGCGGAGCTGCCCGCCAGTGTCCGACAGCCACGGGAGCGCGCCTGGGGCCCGGGACTGCCTAGCGCTGTGGGCGTCAAAAAGCAGAAGAGAAGCCATTCAGATGTGGGCCCTGCCCCGGGCGTGAGAGACGTGGGTTGTGGCGGAAAACTGCAGGGGACCCTGCCTTCCTGGTGTAAGGCTTTTATTACTCGTTTATTTTGTGTATATTTTATATATTTTATCTCCCCACACCCGTACCGATGATCCAACTCAGGGCCTTGCGCTTGTGAGGTAGGCGTGGTATTTTACATTTGAAAATTTGGGATTAGTCTGTTTTGGTTTTTTTAAAAAAACAGGTTCAAATTAGGCATCTGCGTGTATTCCCGTTGTGCATCAAGCGGTGCGACAGTGCTGCATTTGCGCCACCATGTGGACGGAGGGAGCACTACCACTTTTTTGTGTCCAAAATGAGACTGGCAAAGCCGAGGGGAGGCAGCTCAGAACCCTGGCCACTACCTGCAAGGCTGAGGCAGGAGGGTTGCAAATTTAGGTCAGCTCACACAATGTCATGAGACCTTGTCTCGAGACAGAATGAATAGGGCTGGGGATGTAGCTCAGCAAGGCCTGGGTTCAACTTCAAGCACTAAAAGAGAGAAAAAGGGGACCAGGGTGTGGCAATTCATCTCTTGAATCCAAGCCAAGACTAATCAGTCTGGAGACGCATCGGGGTCCCTGAGTGACCATCTGTGAGCTTCCCAGTGTGACTTGTGCCGAGCGCCGTGTGTGCACCTGTGTCCTCATCCCCATCCCCGCCTTGTGAGCGCCCCCGATCCTCTGTGCAGGATGTGGGACCTGGGTCCAACCGCTAACCCCTTCCCAGCCCCGAGAGCCTCAGATTGCTTTGGAAATACATAAGGCATCTGGCAAAAGTGCTCAGGTGCAGTGGCTCGTGGCCCTTCTAAGGCTGGGCACTGGAGTCATGGACGTGAGACATCCTGACCACAAACTTGATGTATATTTCGTCCTGTCCCAGGCACAGTCCTCACTCAGGTCCTCTGGGTTCTTATCCTGGCCCTTCACACCTACTTAGCTGGGTATGGGTGGTGTGGACCCTGCCATTCATCTATTCTTGTAGAAGCAAAGCACAGATTGCCCCGACTGCCCTGAAAACCCTCCGCCTCCCACAGTGCTGGGGTTACAGTTGTGTGCATGATGGCACCAGCCTTAACATTTTTCCATAAATGTTATTTCTTCTTTTTTTTTGGTACTGGGGATCGAACTTGGGACCTTGTGATGGCAAGGCAGGTGGCGAAACCGCTGAGCTAAATCCCCAGCCCATAAATGTTATTTCTTTCGGAGAATTTTTTGTGTACGCCCTTCGTCTATTTTTGCATTATTATTTAATTCATTTGAAGAATTATTTGTATGTTATGGATACCAGCTCACTTGCTGGGGGGTAATGCAGGCCCCTGCCTAGGCCACCACTGGCCTTTAACTCGGTGATACGTGCAGCGGGACCACAGCGTTAGCTGCCTCAGCGAGATCATCAGACTGCCTCTGTCTGAGCTTTTGTAACTATTTTAAGAAATTCTTCCTAATGTCATAAAAGATAATCTCTAGTGTTTTCTCCTAAAAGTGATTTAAGTTTTGATTTTCCTGTAGGGAAAATTAATTTTCTATATTTAGCATTAAAATTTACATTATTAAAATGAACAGTTGTATTCTTTGTGATATGTACGTATTTTTCCTTAAAGAGAAGATAATTAGCCTGGATCTTTGGAAGTGTCTAAGACTCCTAGTTCAGGTCACTCTAACTTCTGCTGGGAGCACAGTGTGGGGTGTCCCTGCCCCCGCCGCTCTCCCTCATGATGGAGGTGAGGCCTCGGCCCACCTCACTGAGCTGTCTCATCCCCAGCCTTCCCTACTTTGAGACGAGTGCTGCCAACGGGACGAACATCGGCCCTGCGGTCGAGGCGCTGCTGGACCTGATCATGAAGCGGATGGAGCGCTGCGTGGACAAATCCTGGGTCCCTGAGGGCGTCGTGCGCTCCAATGGCCTTGGCTCTGCCGACCGCCCCGGCGAGGAGAGGAAGGCTGGGTGCAGCTGCTGAACCCCGCAGGGATACTGGCAGCCTGTCCGAGCAAGCCGCATCGCTAATCATCCGCTCTTAAACTATTGCAGCTTTGTAAATATTTCGTGAAGATTCAGCAGAGAAGTATCTCCCAGGGCCACCGTGCCTTATGAACCTCAGCCCTGGGAGGCCAGGCAGGGACTCGGGTTGGCAGCGGGTCTCTGTCCCAGGGACGCAGGCTGACCGGGCTCCCTGTGAGGGCTTCAGCGATCACAGTCCCGACCCAGGTGTACGCTGGCCCCGCGGTGACCGGAACGTGCGCGGCATTGCCCAAGCCCTTAGCCCTGGCTGGGCCCCAGGAGCTGGGCTGGCTGTGCCTGTGGGCTCGCTGCACCTGCCTGGCTTGGGCAGAGGGTCAGGGTTGGGGCAGGGGTGGCTCGATGTCCTCTTGGCCTCTCTGTTGTGTTCCTGGCTCGGAGGGGCCAACCCGAGGGTTGGAGTCCACTGCCCGCTATGTCCGAGCAGAGCAGGGGCCGGCGCCGCATTGGGTTGGTCACCACTCGCTTTCTTTTCTTCACTTTCCCTGTGCTGGCCTGGTGCCCTCACCTCACGCCGTGTTGGCCTTTACAGCTTGTCTGATTTTTCCGCTGGAGCAACAGAAGGACTTTGTGTTCACGATGGAAGTGTGTCTGCTGAGTGTGGAGCGCAGGCGCTTTACAGGCGCTGAGCGGCCACGCTGCCCTTGCGCTCAGGCAGAAGGCCGGCCGCAGCCTGTGGGCTCACTGTGCCGCCGAGTCGGTCCTCTCCACACCAAGTAAAGGGGGATTTAAAATGTGCTTCAGGAGAGCTATTTAAGTCCAAAGGTATTTCATTTCTTATTTATTAAAATGGTTTAAATAAAGTAGATTAAAATTTCTAGAGAGCGTTAGTGGTTATTTAGGAAAAAATGTCTCTCACTAATGTAGTGAAACATAAAAATGTGTCTCTTATGACAGCAGATGTTTAGAAGAACAGCGATTAGAAAAATAAAGTATCCACACCTGTGTGGCTTGGCGACTTGCACATGGCTTTTTACTGAGCTCCTATGGGGTTTTGGTCACTGCCTCTGCCACTCCCATGACAAACTCAGCTGTGGATACTAAGATTTTATATTTTCCTACCTTCAAAATCAGAGCCTCTCTTAAATACCAAGGAAGCCACTGAGCCTATGCATTTGAGTTGTCTTGTGGCGAGGAAAGACTTCTGTAAGTCAAGGCCACAGTCACACACAGTGCCTCCTCACTGTGCCTGGAGACGTGCGCAGAGTGCGTCCCAAGGCTGCCGCCATCTGTGCAGTCAGGAGAGTGCACACTTGTTTTCTAGAGCCAGGAGATGGCCGCACACCCCACTGGCCTTAAACGCAGGGTGTGATGAATGTGTATGGGTCACGGCACCCAAGCCACCCGGAGTTATGGAAATAAATACCCGGTATTTTCTTTGAAAAGCATTTGTTTCAATTTGACATCAGAGTGCCCTATTTTTGTCAGTGTATTTTTCTACTTACAAGCTGGTGTAAGTGTGTCACGAGTGACCTTGGTGCCAATAAAGCTATGATTTAAAAGGTGATCCTGCCTGACACATTTTAGTGTGAACGTTTCATTTCCCGTCACTGAAACAGGTGAAGCCAGGCTATCCCACTGCAAGACCCAAGTTTGGGGACGGAGTCCACCACGCTCACCCAAGGGCCACAGGTGTTCTAGAGAGAGTAATCAAAGGTCACCGCCTATTGTGGGCACCTCCCACGTGGGGTGCCCGGGGGGCCCGGTCGGGGCGGTCCGGGTGGAGGAGGCTCAGGCCTGGAAGCCGATACGGGAGCTCGGGACGGGCAGGGCAGGGCGAGGAGCCTGAGACCAGCGACGGAGACGGCTCCCCCAGTCGGGGAGCCTGCACACCGGGGTCCGGGCACTGCGGCTATCTTAGCGTTTGTCCCTGTCCTGGACGCTCGCCACCTCCCACCCGTGTGGCTCCCTCCGGTCGCCGTGTCCACCTACCCTGCAGCAGCGCGCTCCTAGCTTGTACCCCGGCCCCACCTACTGCGGCTCCCTGTGCATCATGACCCTGCTAGGCTCTCATCCGCCTCGCTCCAGACAACGCCATGTCCTCACTTTTGTCTCCAGCGCTAAGACTCCATTTCCGTGAGGACGAACATGAGCAGTTTTCCTCACGACTGTGTCATCACTGAAGAACGCCTGGCACAACAATCAGTACTAATATTCCGTAACTGACCAAGGAGACCTGTGAGGAAGACAGAAGACTTGAAAATAAAACCAGCATCAAAGGAAGGCTCGCTGTAACAACCCCACACCGGATCACCCAAAGAACACAGCGAAGTACGACCCGACCTTCTAAACGGACGTCGGGACGGCTCACAAGGTAGGAAATGCTCAGTGTGGGAGGCCTCACTTTGCTTCTTTAGAAACTGGAGAACGAGTGGTATTTCCAGGTCTTCGTTCTTCACAATGTGGACTGCTGTGAACACGCATTTAACTACCGAGGTCTGTTCAGGCAACTAAGCCATTACATGAATTAGTTGCTAAACAAGGAATTATATGTAGGATGGACATTGCAATATTCAGAGCAAAGAAATAGTCAAAGGAAACTCCAACTTGCTGATTTTGCTTTTATTTACATAACTCTGATATGCAATGTTGTAATGTATAACAACATAAAACTACATCACTGTATACAGTACAACCAGAAAACCTCAGCACTATATAAACAAGGTGTACTGTACATTGAGGCTCTATAAACAAGACACGCAAAACTGTACCAAAACACCCCAAAAACCAAAAACCAAAACAGTCGGGTCATTAAGTCCAAGAAGCAGATACTAAGTCTGAATAGTGATTAACAGGTAGGTCGTTAAATGAGGAATACCTACGAATAACTGAAAAATGCTCTCATTGTAGGAAATGCCCTAAGATCACGGGTCCTTCCCCCAGACAGCAGCCGCAGCAGCCACAGCAGCAGAGGCAACTGATTCTCTCTGATGCTGAGCATGGCCAGCCTTTGGTCTTGCTGCTTGGATTTATGGCTGTGACCGTTAGGAGAGAACCGGTGCTAACTGGGGGCGGGCACTCTCCATGCCCAAACACATGAAAGCCAGGGCCTGATCGTGGCCTAGGACTTCTGGGATCATTCATAACAGCAACTCTGCTTACTCAAGGTTGGAGATTCAAGTTTATAGTGCCTAAGGTTTTTGGGAGAAAGAAACTAAAAATTAACATTAAAATGGATTATTTGGTAAAAATACAGCAAGATCTTTTTGGAGAAAACACGTCTCCATTCACCTTACAGGATTTCTGAAGAAAAGCATGTTATCATGGGTGAGCCCACGATTTAAATGAGTCTATTCTTCCCTAACCAACGTGGACGGAGACCGGATGGAGTCCATAAGTCCAAAATGCTTAATTACAAACATTACAAGCACTGGAAAATCTAGTAAAGGGACATGAAAAACATCAGGCCGGTTTGAAAATTAAAAACTTTCACTGGGGCCAGGGACGTAGCTCAGCGGTGTAGCACCTGCCTAGGAAGCAAGAGTTCCTGGGTTCAATCCCCAGTACCAAAAACAAACCAAACACACAAAAGACAACTTCCAGGAATAAAAAATGATGCTATTAAAATTCAAAACTTTTGGCTCATGCCTATAATCCCAGCACTCAGGAGGCTGAGGCAGGTGGTTCCCCAAGAGTTTGAGAACAGCCTGGGCTATGTAGTGAGTTCAGGTCCAGCCTGAGGGAGACCTTGCCTCAAAAAAACAAAACAAAACACTAAAGTTCAAAACTTAGTGGTTAGAGGTTAAATGTCAGAATTGACAGAGTTGGAGAGAAAACCTGTGAACTAGAATGTAGGCCAGAGGAAATGACAGACTTCAAGGAGAGAAAGAGAAAGTATTAGAGGTTAAGCAATCCAGAGGAACACAGAATCTTCTGCTTGTCCAGTAGGAAGTTTAGACATCGGAACTGGGAGAAGCAGCAATTGTGCCAGAGCAGCTGTTTTCTAGGAAAGATCACTGACAGAGGCGCTCAGATTCAGGACCCTGTGCCTCTCAAGTAGGAGGGATAAAAGGGATCGTTTCAGATGTCAGCTCCACTTACTGGAGGTGGGACAAGCTTCTTACCCTTCTTCTTGAATTTCATTAAAATGGCTGGGAAGGTCTAAGGCTGCCCGCTGTCCCGTTCAGCCTTAGGAACGTGTGTTTGTAGGGCGCCGCTGGCCTTGGGCAAGGCTCTGAGAACACAGAGGCTGGTGGCCACTGAGTGGGCAGAGCTGGGCGCCTCTCCAAGATGCAGGAAGTGCGGCAGTGGAGGGACCTGTGGACTCCAAGCGGTGAGGAAGTCCAAGCGGGCAAACTCACATCCACTCTGTGTGGACCACAAGCGCTCGGCACTGAAATTTCCAGAACACGTCTGTTATTTAGCACTATTCTGGAATCACTGGTCAAATGATGAGACAAGAAAAATACCAGGTAAAGGGAGAAATACATGTTCTGCAGACCGTAAGCAGACAGACTAATTCTAAAGTTAACAAGAAAAAGTGTTGGACAGCCAGGCGTGGTGGCGTACGCCTGTATCCCAACACTGGGGAGGATGAGGCAGGAGGATCGCTGCTGAGTTCGAGACGAGCCTGGGCTACATTGTGAGTTCTAGGTCAGTCTCAACACAGTGAGACCCTGTCTCAAAAACCAAAAAAAAAAAAAAAAAAAAAGTGTTAAAAAATGGCCAGAGAAATGATGAATGCGGAAGGGAGAGGCGGTAATCCATCATTCAGATACGTGTCCCTAATTTACAGATGAACGCGGGGAGGTGTCTTTCTTCATACGTTGCCCGCCGGGAAAACACCGCAGTTTCGCCTCCAGAGGAGCTGCAAATTCAAATGTGAAAAATGAAAAAAATTGGGAGCGGGAAATGCAGTTCCAAGCAAAATACCAAATTCAAAGTCACGAGAGCTTAGATAAACCTGAATACCAATAAGTCATTTCTGAATAAAAAGCAAAGCTTAAGATACTGATACGTCAGGAAACGATTTTGAGGGATGTGAGCAAGGGCCAAGCTTCCTGTGCAAAATGCTGTTGAAAGTCGACTCAAAGCTGGAAAGGACACAGGACTCCAGCCCCGGCAGCCTCCACCTCACTCAGAGTCGGTAGGTTCAGGGGGCCTGGGCCGGGGCCAAGCTCGCGTCAGCACGGCTCGGGTTGCAGCCTCCTGACTCGGGGACTGCAGCACCCAGACTCCCAAACCTCGCCCCTCCCGGGTCTCGGTCGGGGAGAGTCACTTCCGGCGGCGGGTGCGTTACTTCCGGCGTCGGGCGCGTCACTTCCGGCGGCGGAGACTCATTTCCTCTCCCTGCGGGCGGTGAGCTCCTGTGGATCCGAGCGCTTCCAACATGCGCATCGAGAAGTGTTACTTCTGCTCTGGGCCCATCTACCCCGGTCACGGCATGGTGTTCGTCCGCAACGACTGCAAGGTGAGAGGCCCAGGCCTCCGGCGCCGGTTCTGGGGCCGTCCGCGGGGCGTTGAGCGGTGGATTGTAGAGGTGGCCACGCTTGGCAGGGCTAAGGATGCAAACAGCGCCGCCTGGGGAGGGCCTCGGGCCTGCTCCGCAGAGCCGACCTCGCGCCCGTCCCGGGATCCAGGACCTGGAGCTGGGGAAGTTCAGGCTCTGCCTTCTCGCCTACATCTGTCCGGCCCGAGGGCGTCGCCTGCTGCGGAGCAGGGTCCCCCTGAGACGAGCCCACGATTGCCACGTCGGGGCCGATCCTCCGGGGCGCTGATTTTGCACCCGATCGAGCCCATCCTTTCTGGCCCCTGTAAGCGCTGTTTCCCAGCCGGTGGTCGCGATGGTGACTGCGGAGCTGGGCCAGGCGCCGGCTGTGCAGTGGGGTCGCGGTGGAGTGGAGCGGAAGCCTGTGTTGCCTGGGCTGGGGAGAGCAGAGCAAGGGGCGACGCCCGGCCGCACGACGACGAACGTGTATCTCCTCTGACTGCCAAACCGGTGTCTTCTCAGCTACATATTTGACTTTCTATTGGACGGGGAAGTTCTGCTCTTTCCTAGCAGTGGACCTACTGGAAGGGAAAAGCTTGTGACTTCAGGTCTTTCTCATCTCTGAATTAACACCATCCTCACATGCCTAGAGGGATTGGCTAGAAAGGTGAGGGTCACGTTTGAATCTTTCACGTTTTGTGTCTGTTTTCCAGACCATTTTGCTTCTGTGAGGTCAGTGATGTCTAGGCCTTCTTTCTACGCCCTCCTCTACCCTCTAGTCTGTATTAGGTGCTGGTCGCGGCTGTAACCTCCTAACTCGTGGTTTGGCTCTATTCTCCTAAATACTCTAGGTATTTCTCTTGCACACCTAAATTAGCTACTTATGGCCAAATGGGAACAGAGCTTTTTTGTAAATAAGGAGAAGAAGAGGGGTTGGAAGGAGGGAGGGGAATGGGAAGAGAAGAAGCAAGATAAATCATGTACAGGCACAAATTCCCCGCGATCAGTGTTATTATGTGTATCTAAAATGTACCAATAAAAATAAAATTAAAGGGCAGAGTATTAATGCTCCGTAGTTCCGCATACTTTATAATCAGGAGGAAGCCTTAATGAGGGCTTCATGTTGAAAAGCTTGAAGAAGTTTAAGGCGAAGGTATTAGGTCATTTGTGGGCTCCTTGGAGACTGGAGGTCATGGGAGCCAGGTTCCAGGGAAGAGGCAGCCTGTGGGGCTTCACCGCATCGTGGTTCCTCCCTGTGTCACAGGTGTGTCTGTGTGACTTCCTACATTATTGTGCGTAGCTTTAGCTCACATTTTACATCCTGGCCTGATCTTCGTACTGCAAAGTGAGACTGTTTTTCAGGAAGGGTACCATGTTTCAGTTATGCCTGTGTCGCTGTCACCTAGCACAGCACCAGGCACTCAGATGCGTGTCCTGTACCTAGCCAGTAGACTCCCCATCAGGGCTCCAGTCGGCTCAGACCCCGCATACGCTTTCAGCACCCGTTAGATACTGACTCAGACAGGCGCCTGTTAGACGCTGACTCAGGACGAGGTCTCATTGGCCATGTTTGGCGTCGTGAGGAGCCAGAACAAGCTCCAGCCATCACCTGCTAGATTTCAGAAACGAGTCTGCCTAGGGATATCTGTTCGGGTTTCAGTGTTGGAAGCCTTCACTTAAATTTAAAAGGTAATAACTGTCTGGGCTGAAAACACACAAAAAAAATGGATGATGACTTCATAGGGGTTACTCTGGAAGGCTTTGGCAATTCTGATATTTTTAGTTGATGTGAAATTGGCTCAAGGGTAGACATGCTCTCGTTCAGGTCTCTTAGGAGGTCTGGGCCTAGATCAGAGTCTACTGTGTTTAGTAGTCTCCTGTAGAACAAAGTCTATGAAGTGAGTGTGTGTGTGTGTGTGTGTGTGTGTGTGTGTATTTAGTTCGAAATGTGCACACTGTTTAACCTGTATTATTGGGTGAGCCCTTATAGGTCTGACACTTCAACTTACTTATCTTTGCAAAGATAATGAACATCAAAGAATGACTTTTCCTGTTTCCCCAGTAGCGTGCACAGACTCCGGGGTACTCTAAAATGCTTCGTGGTAGCAAACCAGTTTAGTGGCCGCGTATGCTCTCAGGCGGCTCGGGAGGATCTGTGAGTGGGGCTTGTGGGTGCAGTCCATGGTTGTTTTCAGACTGCGCATTGTTTTGTGTCTGACAGTAGCATCCTGTGGTGGAAGAGTTTTCATTGCTGACTTTCGGTGTTCTAACTTTTCTTGTAGGTGTTCAGATTCTGTAAATCCAAATGTCATAAAAACTTCAAAAAGAAGCGTAATCCCCGCAAAGTCCGGTGGACGAAGGCGTTCCGGAAAGCAGCCGGCAAGGAGCTGACGGTGGTGAGCACGGCTGGCTGTCGGAGACAGCTTTTGTTTCGTTTTTTGGGGTGGGAAACTGTGGTCTAATTAGCCGAAGCAAGGGCTCCTGTAGCACAGCTGTGAATGCTCTATTGATTTGGCCATGGAAATAGTCTCATCCTCACGTGGTTCTGAAAACCATCATTCTGTAGACTTTGCAAAGGAAAATTCCCAGTTCAGTTTTGTAGAAGTGACTTTTCTTATCCTTAAAAACTTACTTTTACTTCTTGCAAAGAGGTAAATCACTTAAATGACCAGGGTGAAGTTGGAGGTTGCTACTCAGGAGCTTGAGACAAAGTTGGCTTAGTGTCTGAGGACCCAGGTCGGCTAGTGGGTTGATGTTAAGAGGGTGAGGTAGTGGGAAGTTGGAACATGGGGCTCCCTTGGACCATCCTGCTGTCACTGAACGGAGGGAAGGGTCAGTCAGAGCCCCCCATGTCCTATCCCGGGACAGGGAGCGGAAGAAGCTGCCGCACCGACTGCCTTCCCTGTGGCCGCCTCTGCCCCTAGCCCATGCCTGCTCCTGTCTCTGTGCATTCTGCTTCTGTGAGAACGGTGCTGTCTGGGTCTCCCACCCGCCTTCCTCTTCCAGCTCGGATTAGGGTTACACCCTGGTGTGCAAGGGCAGCCCCTACAGGCCTGTGCCAGGGTCCCTTTCTGGGCCTTCCTGGCTGGAGCTCCTCGGGCCAGATCGCGAGTCAGTCTCTGAGGTCATTGTCACCCTGGCCCAGAGGCAGCCTGGGTCTCACATGCGGGGCCGGGAGTGAAGAGGAACAGCACAGCCCGCGCCTCGAGGAAGAGCTTTAGCAGACCCTCCCTCAGTTCAGCTGAGGTGGTGGTGGTCCCGACGACGCTGTGCCAGGTGGATTGGAACTCAGGAGACCACCTCTGAGATCGGACACCAGCAGCGGGAGGTGTGGGGGCCTGTGGGACCTGCTCCATGTGTATTTCAAGATGTGTGGCTCTGTATTGTTGTTCTGACTGACAGGTGCTCACATCAAACCCCGTGAAATTCATGATGGTCAGCTCTTTATGATCTGGACAAAATGGCAGTGTTGTGTGTCGGACTTGAATGCAGTTTCCTGGCCGAGCTGGTCTGGGAGGTGGATCTCCATGGGAGAGCGTGGCCCTCAGTGGGCGCGGCACCGCCTCAGCCCCATGCGGCCATGTGTACAGGGAGAGGCTGTGAGCCTGCATTCTTGAGCCGGGGCCTCAGCGTGCACCCCAGGATGCTTGCACTTCCTTTCTGCCTCTCTCACCAGCCCTCTGCTTTTTACAGGATAATTCATTTGAATTTGAAAAACGTAGAAATGAACCTGTCAAATATCAGCGAGAACTGTGGAATAAAACAAGTAAGTCTGGGGAGTCCATTCCTTGGGGGATGGGTTGGGTGCTGAGGAGACTTTAACGTCATCATTTTCAGTCTTCAGTGTTTATCTGACCTCACTCGGATGGCTATGGTGCATTTATATCTTTACTTATGAGTTACCCTAAATGCTTCCAGAATTGGTGATACATCCGTTATAAAAGTAGTTATTATTCAGTATGAACTGCCACACAGAGAGATAAAACATAAAAAAATCTGAAAAAAGAGAAAATACTTTTTGATGTGATTGTGGCAGAGTTAAAATATACAGAAAGCCTAGGATGCTTTACAAGTTTAGTCATTTAGTTCAGAGATACAAGCTGTTTTCTATGTATCTTGTACAGTTTCCTGTTGTGTTTCTTGTTTTGTGTTTTTTTGGGGGTACTAAGATTGAACCAGAGTCTTTGCACTAAGCGACATCCCATCCCTTTGTAATTTTAATTAATTAATTTTTACAAATTTTGAGACAGTGTCTAATTTTTGCCCTTCCTGCCTCAGACTCCCAGAGTTCTGGGAGTGCAGGTGTACAGCACCACACCTGGCAATTCAGCGCTTCTTTCTAGTTGAAAAGTGTAGCACATAAGGTGATCATTACAAACTTTCTAACAGAACTTCTAAATGCTTGACTTAGGTCAGAATGAAGTTGTAGGCTACGGAAACTAAAAGCAGTAATACCTGGTGCTCGTGTTTTTTTGGAAGCAGCCAGAGGCCTAAGAAAGAAGTCCCGTGTGTGGTCAGTCACAGGCCCAGCAAGCTTGTGCCCCGCCGTGCTGTGTGGGACTGAGGCCTGGGCCCTGCTTCTCCTCCTCCCGGGCTGTCTTCCTTTAGCCGTTGCTGGCATGGCTGTGGGGCTGGCGTTGGTAGAGGGGAAGTCCTGGGATTGTGACTTGGTGTGGCTTTCGGGCTGCGACCTTTCCGCATGTTTTCCCCAGCAGCAGGGATCGAGACCAGAGAACTGGAGCTTTATGGCAGCGTTTGGCACCATTAAAGCTTTGCTCTTCTTCCTCACCCTTATCTACAGATCAGTCCAGGTGTGGAATTGCCTTTCCTGCATAGCAGTTTTCTCTTTCTTAAAACAAAGGTTTCCCCTTATTTTTTTGGAGGAAGAGTTAATTTCTGAAAAGCATTTGCTTTTGTTGAGTTTATATGATGAGGAGATGACACCTGGATTCCTGAGCCATGTCGTGCTGCAGTGGGCTCTTTGTTGTTGAAAGCCCTAAAAGGTTCATCATCTCTGCTCTGAGATCGCTGACTTCATGGGAATCTGCAGTTGATTCCAAAGTTGTTCTCGTCAGGGACATTGTCGAAAGACCCTGAGGCTTTTCCAGACCACATTCCGTATCATTTCATCGTGACTTGCCTTGTTTGGTTGCCATTGAAGGCAGCAGCTTCAGTTTTCCTCAGTCCTAATGCTGTTGTTGGCTCACCTTGGTCCTGGTGGGCTTCCCCTGTGTGCCTGGCCTTGCTCCTGAGCTGTCCGGCTGTCCAGTGCGCGCTCTCGGGTGCTGCCTGAGGCGCAGTCCTGCCCTCGCCTGGCTACTCTTGCTCAGTGTCTCCAGGTGTGGTTTGCTCTGGGGCTCGCAGTCCGGTCCTCTGCCCCTCTCCTTCCACAGCTGGAAAGTCTGGAAGAAACGATGCTGTCTTCATTCTTTCCTGCACAGATACTTTATCCTTTTTTATTTGGATCCTAAAAATGGACTTTGTTGAGGATTTGCTGGGCAGTGACTAAGTCCTGAAGTGGTTTCCTGCTCTTTACACAATGACTAACTTGCCAGTAGGCTTCCGGAAGAGTCAGTGCTCTCATAAGAGATCAGTTCACCCCCGGATCCCCTCCCCGCGTTTCCCTGACCTGAATTGAGGTGTGCCGTGAATATAGAGTGCAGGATGCAGTGAGGATTCAGGGTGAGAAGGAGTAAAATGTCTTAACTAATCATTTTTTTGTACTGACCTACGAGTTGAAATGACGGTATTTTGAATATGTCGAGATAAAATATATCATTCAATTTCCGCGTGATTCTGTCTACTTTTTAAAAAATACAGCTACTAGAAAACCTAAAATTCCACTGAGGTTTGTCCTGCCCCAGACAACACTGATGTGGGTCCAGAGTGCCCGTAGGTGGGATGCGGCGTCCTTGTGGCCGCAGCTCCTGCAGACATCTGGGAGCCTGAGCAGGGGCGGGGAGGCCGAGGGGCTCCTCCCCGTGTCACGGCCTGCGGACAGGGTGCCTGTGTCCCTGGAGGGCACAGCTCAGGGCAGGGTCGGTGCCTCCCCTCCAGATGCTCTGTGGAACGAGCGTGGAGAAGCGTCCGCTGGCTCGCAGTGCAGGGAGAGGTGAGCAGCAGTGAAGGCTGGAGGGGTAGGAGTTGGAGAAGGGATTTCTGGAAGAGAGGGTCGGTCCCAGCGGCACCTGGAAGCACCTGCCTTTTCCGACTCGGTGGGGTTGTTTGGGCGCGGAGTGTTTTCATTTAAATTTATTTCTAATAATAATAACGCTAATCATGAAGTGTTAATGCACTTGTGGTCCTGCTCGATGTGTACGCTTGTGTACAGCGTTGCTAATCCCTAATGAATTCTGTTGCAGTTGATGCAATGAAGCGAGTCGAAGAGATCAAGCAGAAACGCCAAGCTAAATTCATAATGAACAGGTACGAACGTTTGCACGGAGCAACGACTGCACTTGTAATTATTGGCGGGTCACTGTGCAGCGTCCCTCGTGCGGGCCGGCCTGTGCTGTCACCCTGGGGCGTAGCAACCACGACCAGCAGGACGGCCACAGGCAGCAGCGCGTCCCTGTCTGGCCTGGCATCGGGGGCCGGCCCTCCCCACTGTGCGCTCTGACCCTCGGGCCCCAGGGTGTCTCCCAGCTCTCGGGGACGCCGTGTGACTGCCCACGTCACTGGTGATTTGCTCACCGCCTCGTTTCTCTGTTTTGTAGTTGGCGTCATGTGTTAGAGGGAGCGTACCGTTCCCCCGTTTCCGAGTCCTCCCTCTGCTTGTTTCTGTGTGTCTGTCTGTTGGAGGATCCTGTGGTGTGATTTAGCCCTGTACCCCACTTTGATGCTCCAAGTGGCCGGTGTTGGGCCGGTGTGCTGGCTGCTGCCCCCCCGTTCATGCTGCTCGTCCTCTCACACCGTCGTGGCTGCCAGCCTCCAGCCGCATCCTCCACCCCCTTTCCCTGCCCCGGCCTGGGACAGGCCATTTCTCGGAAGCAAGAGATGTATTGTTGTCCCGGGAGGGGCAGCAGCTTCTGGAAGATCAGATCACAGTGCTTCAGAAGAGCTGGGCTGAGGCAGGAGGAGCACCAGGAGTTAAGGCCAGCCTGGGCTATATAGTGAGACCCTGTCTCAAAAACCAAAAAACAGACAAGAGCCACGGTGCAGAAAAGACCCAGGCGCTGTAATCGATTGTGTCCATCCTAAGTCACGAGTGTAGTGGCACCGCAGACCCTGGTTTGTGAGGTCTCTGGTTTCTGCACACTCAGCAGCCTGGGACACCGGAGCAGGGTCACTGAGTGAGTCACAGGGAGCTGGACTCCATCTGCAGGGCTCAGCTGGCCTCATCCTTCGAGGGCCGTGGGGGAGCTGGGTCTCGTTCCTGTCGGTGGGCGGAGAGCATGGTGGGCATGGGGCTCCCGGCTCTGTGGCCACCTGTGCTTTAGTTGCTGTCTCTAAAGAAGCTCTAAGTGTTCGGCTTTGCTGTGTTTTACCCTAGGTTGAAGAAGAACAAAGAGCTCCAGAAAGTGCAGGACGTCAGGGAGGTCAAGCAGAACATCCACCTCATCCGTGCCCCGCTCGCCGGTGAGTGCGGCTGGCCCGGAGCGTGCCTTGAGCGCTGCCGTGACCCAGCTCGGCGCTCAGGCTATTCGTCCTGGGACTTGGCTGCGGTGCAGTGACAGGCCTGTGCTCCCAGCTGTTCGGACGCGAAGGCAGGAGAATCCCTCGAGCTCATGAGTTTGATTTTCTTACCTCCTGTCTCAGCCTCCCAGGTGTCAGGGTTGTGTGCCACCGTGCCTGGCAGAGTCCATGAGTTGGAGACCAGTTTGGGCAACACAGCAAGCCCGTCAAAAACCAAACAAACAGGAAAGCGTTTCCCTGAGCCCAGTCTGCTTCTGCGCTTCCCCTCCTAAATCCTTTCATGCACCGCGGCTCTGGTTGCAGTGACCTGAGCAGTGATTTGCAGGTGGTCTCCCTGGTACCTGTTTTGGGTAGGTGTGTTCCGGTCCATGCTGGGATGCCTCGGGCCATCGCACAGGACAAAGACCCTACAAGGGTGGCCAGGCACCGCTCTGAGGGCCGCTCCGTGTGGGAGTGTCTCTCGGTGACGCTTGTCATTACTCACTGGGGTTGCTGCTCCGTGCTTGCTTTGTGAACTGGAAAACCAGTTCTCACTTGGGTGGCACTGAGTCCAGTCTCAGTTGACTTACTTAATTTGTGCACGTTACTTGGAGGAGAAAAATTTTGCCTGACTCAGAGGAAAGTTCAGATTTGTAATGTGTTTAGTGAATTTGTGTAGAAATCCTAAGCATGTCATATTTACAGTAGGTTCTGTTCAAGGAAGTCAGAATTCTGGAGCATTTGTGCCAGGTGCAGCTGATACGAACTGGCACCAAGAGGCAGTGGGCCGGCCCCTGTTTTCTTTTGAGGCAGGAGCACATTTCAGAAGCAGGAACCTGGGTCGAGGTGGCCGGGGTTGCCTTGTGGGCTCTCAGCCTTTCATTGTGAAAGTGTGGGGTTTTATGGGGAGGAGGACTGATGCAGGGCTGCCTTCTTCGTGGATTCATGAGATCTGGGTAGTTGAGCTGCTCTGAAATTTCACAGAATTGGCTGTCAAAGCAGTTCAGGCCCTTTAGGAGTATTGAGCAAATTCTGGAAGGCCACATGAAATTCATTACATCTTTAATTTTTGTCTTGAAAGGCAAAGGAAAGCAGTTGGAAGATAAGATGGTACAGCAGCTGCAGCAGGATGTGGACATGGAGGACGCTGTCGGTGCTGTGTCTGTGTGAAAATCTCCTGGGGACGCGTAAAGTGTGGGCACCCTCGATGTGTTTGTTCCTGGGTCCCTGGTGAAGGTGCCGGGGTCCTTTCCTGTGCTGCTATCTGCCACCCTGCCGGCGAGGTTCTGGGTTCCCCCGGCACAGCCCACTGTAGATGTGCTTCTGTAAGTGTGAAGGTTCTGTGCAGGTGCAGAGGTGAACAGTGGACATCACATGGCCGTGCCCTTTGCACGACGGCGTAGGCAGCGTTTGTGTAGACTCACCGCCATATTCATAAAAGTGACACAGGAAATAAACTTCTTTGTGTTAAAATGTCTCTTTGATTAATGTTTTGGGGGATACAGTAAGCAACTGGCAGCTTATGTGCTGGCCTCTGCGTCCTGTCTGGATTTCCTGGTGTGGTTTAGTGGCTTCTTAGAGGACAGCAAGGCTACGTTGCCTGGGCCCTCGGACCTGGCGTCAGTGCCTGCCCCATGCTCCTGTTTGCCTGAGGTGCTCGCTACTTCTGCTTTGGGAACCTCAGCGCCCTGGGCAGAGCAAGCTTGCTCCTTTGCGTCCAGTGCCTTGCAGACTTCGTGTGGGATTCTTTGAAAAGAGATCTTGATTTTGGAAAACAGAATTTATGGAAAGAACATCTGCCCATTATTTGCGCATACATTTTTTTTAAGGGAAGTGCCTATATATTTAGTACTTAGAAGTTCACTGCTTACAGAGGTATGAAGTATAGATTACTTGGAAAAAAATATTAGTACTGAAGTGGGAGATACAGATAAGGGAAATAAATGTGTGCTGAGCACTTTATGTTGCTTTGTTTTTACATTATTACTTTACATGTATTTCAAATACTATGTCACATTTTTTTTTTTTTTTTTTTTTTTTTTTGTGGAACTGGGGGATCAAATTTAGGACCTTTCCCTTGCCGGCAGTCACGGCACCGCTGAGCTACATCCCCGGCAAAACAGTTTATTTGGGGGGGGCAGAGTTTACAGTACAAGTTCTTAGGGTTACGTGATTGTAAAGTAATGGTGTCAGGTTGTAAAAATGCAGACCAGTCTCCAGATGCTGAAGGGCAGCACGGGGCTGGAGGTCGGGGGGCTGGAGCCCTGTTGACTCGTACTCCTGGGGCCTCTCGGGAATCCGAACAGTCCACTGAGGAGGTCTTCCTGTCCACACAGAGCCCAGGACTGGCTGTCCCGGTGTCCCAAGGGGCACCACTCTCACTCGGGCACACTTGTGTACGTGACCTCCCCTTGCTCAGCACTGAGATGAAGGGGCTGCGTGTGTTCAGCCAGGGCCTGCGGGAGGCCAAGTCGGGAGGGCACTGCCCACAGTCAGCTCTGTGCCTGCCGGCCGGGTGGTGTAAAGAGGGGGCAGCCAAAGAAGTGTCATCTGAGGTGCAGCGGCTGACACGTCCCATAGGACTACTGCAGGGCCACCGCCAAGGTGAGTAGGTAGGGTGCCCAGGGATCATTCTGGTGACAAGGGAAGTTTCCTCCCGCTTAGCTTGTGTTTTTATAAAGAAACCAGGAGAATGGCATCTAGCGTGAGTCTTGCAGATTCGGGTAAGTTCTGTGACAATTGGAGACTCCTGCTGCTGACTTAGGTGTGTTGGGAAGGGAAGGGGGCCAATCAGTGGAAGCCAACAACCCGAGCCCCACGCCACTGTTTCGGGGCTCTGGAGGGTGTCCGGGCCTTTCTGGATGAGGGGTCAGCAGGCTGGAAGGGGAGGGGACCCTGGCTGCTCCGCTTGTCTGTACCAGGCACCCCTCCCAGCGCCAGGGTGTCCCCTGGTGTCCAGGGATGCTGTGGCTCAGGAGGCCCTGGTGGGAGCCCCGTGTCGCCACCTCTGTCTCGGGGCGGGGGGGAGAGTTGGGCACAGGACGCCGGGAGGAGGGAGCCCTGTCAGGTCTGCAGGGAGCAGGGCAGTGGCAGCGGCTGCAAGGCTTTCTCCCTGACGCTTACGGTCTCCCTTAGCTTGAAAGTGCGTGCTTTCACTGAGCTGCCAGTCATCTACTCTATTTTGGTGTTTTCGAGACAGGGTCTTCCTATACATTCTAGGCTGGCCTGTAACTTCAGCAGTCTTCCTGCCTCAGCCTCCCAGGTGCTGGGATTGCCGGTGTGCGCCACCTCGCAGGGCCCCTTTCTTCTCGATGAAGTGGTTTTCTGTGGAAGGCTAGGTATCATCAAGCAGGCGGGCAGACTGCTCTTGCTTTTCCTTCCACTCTTAATTGGGTACACAGATTAATTAAAGTTTCATTGGGCAGCTTCCTGCATGCACGTGACACACTTCGTCGTTCTCACTCCTGCGGACTCTTTCTAATTTCCACCTGCGGATCCTGCCATAGACAGCATCTTCCAATTAACTGCATTTACGTCTTTGCCGTATGCCAGTTTGTGGGGCTGTTTGACCACAGTCTGACCTGCCCCGGCACCGACCGGTTTGTGCCAGTTTGTGGTAATCGCGTCAGCGCTGGCCCCACCTTCACGTCTCTTACTCAGTGTTTAAATTGGACTGGGATCTGGCAGGACATAATCACAGCGGAGCCACGGAAATCGCCCTGGGACGTGGGCACTGAGAAGCTCAAGGCGAAGAAGACCGGTGAGGAGACACGCTCAGCCCGTGCTAACCCCGGGCCGGAGTCCCCACTCGGCCGTGGCGCCGCACCCCACCCCGTCCCGCCCGGCC